GAGCAGGACGAGGGCCACACGGAGGCGGAGCAGGACGAGGGCCACACGGAGGCGGAGCAGGACGAGGGCCACACGGAGGCGGAGCAGGACGAGGGTCACAAGGAGGAGGAGAAGGTCGAGGATCACACGGAGGAGAAGGACGAGGACCACAAGAAGGCGGAGGAGGAGGAAGAAGACCACAAGGAAGAAAAGGAGTACAGGGCAAAGGAGGAAGAGGAGATGAAGAAGGAGATAAAGGAGGAGGAAGTGGAGGGAGAAAAGAAGGAAGCAAAGAACCAGGTGGGGGAGGGGACGGCCACAGTAACACCTCACATCTTAGATTGTGAGTACTTGCTGAAGATCCTGGCCATGGAGGAAGAAGAAGACGAACAGACCTTCATCCCCCGCATAGCTAGCATCATCAGCCCCAGCCTGAGTCCATCGCCACCATCCCACCAGCAGTCGAGCCAGATATGTAACCACACATCCAACTCAAGTCTGAGCTCCTCCACGTCGCAGAAAAGTACCACAACTCCCATCCGCTCTCATTGACTCCTCAATCCCCAGGGGGAATCTGGTCCACAGACCCCCCTACCCCCACCCCCCCTGCCAGCCTTTGCCTAACCAGTGTCTGGTTTCTAAATATAAACTCCCTCAATACCACTACCATTACCCCCATCATACACACACATATACGTACACAAGCTTTACCATACTTGGTCCTGGAGTTCGGGCCTTTAATCAGCCTGACTCATATATCAAAGGCTCTGAAATCTTCACTGACTTGTAAAGATTCACAAAATAGGGTGTAGGTAAAATACATTGTAAGACTTGAAATTTAGTGCAGTATGAAGTGCTCATTTTTATTATAACTCTTCTATGTGTAGTCACACAGTTAAATATCTGTCTGTCGTGAAAACATATACAAGAGCCCAGCTGCTCCTGAGAAGGAATAGTGTCTTAAAGGTGCTGTGTTTCTAAACATGTTGTCCTGAAAAAAAATAAATGCAACAACTTTTAATTTAATTTAACCTCCTGTACCGAAACCACTCCAATCACTTCCTTTAAAAGCAGAGCAGTTATTTAAAGTAGATTTCTTAATCTTACACAATTGACGTTTGAGGATGAAAAAATTCTTTGTTGTGGGGGCTATCCTGTATATTGTAAGAGTTCATCAGTATCTTGTGGCCCTTATCTACCCCTAGCTGGGGAGCACTGTGCCTCTTTCTGTAGGAGAACACTGCTCTCTCAAAGATTTATGGCTTCAGAAATCCTATCCAGGGTTGCTAGGAGTAGGAAAGACTTGAAGGCTCTTCACAACAACTACCCTTTGCTATCTATGCCAATAACAACATCATTTCACACATACGCATCTCACACACATACACACACACACATGTATAACTTTGCGGTTATTAAAAAATGTGTCAGGCATGGCCAGATTTCCCCTGGGGAAAAAAATTACCTTTTGAGGACCACAAATTTATAAAGGGAGTGATTAAATTTTTTAATGTTTGTTCAACAGGTTTTCCTAAAATATTTCAGTCATTTAGGAAAGACACATCAGAAATGAATTCAGAAAGGTAAGAAAATACATTTTCAGTTTTCATATTATTTTTGGATGTTGATTACATTTAGCTTTTGAATAATATGTCAGGAAGTGGAGTAAAACAAGCCAGGCCATTTATAACTGATTTATTAAAAAAAAAAAAAAATTTAAGCCTGCATTATGTGCTGTAGACACTATGGAGAAGATAAAGATAAGGTCCTTGCCTACCTCTAGCTTATTACCTAGCTATAGAGATGACAAGGAAAAGAGTTCCTGGGTGGTACAAGCAGATAATGTGCACAGCTGCTAAACATAAGGAAGGTTGGCAATTGAAATCTACCCAAAGATACCTGGGAAGAAATGTCTGGTTATCTACTTCCAAAATATCAGCTAGAGAAAGTGTTGTAGAATACACTTCTACTTTGATACATAGAGTTACCATGAGACTGAGTCGACTCAATGGTAACAGATTTATTTTGAGAAATGACATTTCCACATTATATGAAATAATAAATATATGAGCATAATAGTAAATGCTATGAAAGTTTAGGGCATAGATCTCTATTGGCTAAAACTGAGAATAATCACTGATACCATTTGTGAAGGACAGTGGAAATCATAGTCTTTTTTCCTTCCTTGTTGTGATTGCAACTGTTACAAGTCTTCAGACACTTTAAAGATAATAGGAAGATACCAGAGAAATAGTTTTTGACCTTTAAAATATTTATAAATTTTCTTTGAAATTTTATACCAAACCTGAGTACACAATTATAAATTATTGTTCATATAAACTTTGCCTTTCTGAGCAGTTTTTAAATCTTAAAAATAAGGATAATTGTTCTGTCCCACTTATATTTTCATTTTCCTTTTCATCCAACTTTTTGATAAAAAATAATCTCTACACATGGTTAAAAAATTAAAGTATGAAAAGATATAACATTTAACTCTTTCATGACCTACAGGATATATAGTGCCCACCTCTCCTCTGGAATTTATTGGGCAGCTGCTTTCTCAGTGACAGTGCCTGCAGCTGCCAGGAGGGAACTTAGTTTGAAATGGAAGAGATAGGTGTGTGCTGCAAACTACTGTATTTACAGGGAATTGTATGAGATGATGCATTGTACAGATGTAATTTTGCCAAACTTTTGTTTCTTTTGACTTTTTTTTTAACTAGGAAATAAGACTTGTAAGTATATTTCCAGGTTCTTGTGTGTTATTTAGAAGATGTCTTTCTTGCATTGATTACATGTTTCTGCAAATGCTTCATTTTCAGACACCCTAAATTATATGTGCCAGTTAAAGGATCTAGAAGGCAGTGCAGAGTTTAGAGAGACATTTGTGTCCAACTAACCCTACCCTACAAGCCCAGAACTACCTCTGTGTCCCACATAATAGGCATCAAAATCTGAATTTTAGAATGAAATTTCAGAAATGTGTCTTGATTCATTCAAGCATGATGCCTTCCACTAATGAAAACGTATGTGTCAACAAAAAATTCAAAGCAGGAAAATAATTGGATCATGAAAGGGTTAAAATATCCACTCTTCTTCCTCACTTCCACTCAGCCTAGGCCAGAGTTAACAGACTGTTAACAACTTGTTTGGTTTCCTATTATAATTTTTAAGAACATACCTGCATTTCCTGATTTATCAATTTTAGATATAACTATTGATTCCCTATCATGAAAGAAGAAAGTAACTCAAAGTACCTTCCTCCTCGTCATTTTTAATAGTTATATTAATTTTAATTTTTCTAACCTTTGTTGTTTAGTGCTGTCTAGTCAGTACCTACTCAGAGTGACCCTGTATAGTATTTTCAAGGCATGACTGGTGGGTTTCAACCATCAACCCTGCAGTCGGTTGTCCAATGCTTATCCTACAGCACCACACCTGGACGCCAACCATTAGGACTTTAAAATATTTAAATCTCAATTTCTTGACTTCTCAGTTTTAATTAGTTCTAACTGGTGTGGCTCTGAGAGTTAATGCACTGGACTAAAATGTCAGTTTGAACCGAAAGGTTGGCGGTTCAACCAGCCACTCCTCGGAAACCTGTACAAGGTTGCTATGAGTCAGAACTGACTGGAAGACACTTAACAACAACTACTATGCAAAATTGATACATTAACACACCTCCACTTCTTCCATCTCTCCTCTCATTCTCTCCTTTCCCAATTAACAAAAAATTATGTAAATAATATAACCATGAATTATAGTAAAATATACATGCAAGTTAAAAAATATTGCTACTAGGGTTCTAGTTCCTACATGCATGAGTTTATTCCAAATAAAGTGTGTTTAAGCACCTCTGAAGTCTGTTGATGGCTCCAGACACGCTTTCTCAGTAATACACTTGTCTTAGTCTTGTTAGGGTGCCTTTCAAAAAAGATCCAATCAAAACAGTGGCTTCTGAGGGGATCTGCTGGGCCAGTTAAATTCAATAGAAAGGTCAGCTCAGAAGGTTATGGAGATTGTTTATTAGGATCCCAACGGGTGGGTAATATTGATAGCTTTTCTTAAAAGACACAGGGTAATCACAGAAGGCAATTATGAAGAAGTTTTCAGTAAATTGAAGACTGTATTGGTAAGAAAAAGGCCAGGAAAACTGCATTGAGGAACTTCTTTTTCCATCACAACAGTGTACCTATCATTCTTTGAGGTTAACAAAGGCTGTCCTATGAGAATTTCATTGGGAAACCTTACCCGTCCACCTCACAGCCTGATACTGACCACTCAAACTTCTTTTTGTTCTCAAAGTTCAAAGAACATTTAAAAGGAACACAATTTGAATTCCTCGAGAATGTTAAAACTTCTATTTTATCATGCTGGAAATCAAATAGTTTCAAATTCTTTGGGAAAGGGTTAGAGAGATGGAAACACCATCTGCAGAAGTCAAGAAACATTAGCTCCATATTTTGCTGTTTTTGTTTAATAAAAGTTCCTATGATTTTTAGCAAAACTTTTAAACTTACCCTCACATATAAACTTATATTACCTTGGCAGGTTCTATTATATTTTATTATGTTGTTACTGTAATTAAGTAGTGTGCTTTGGGTACAGGTTGATTGAAAACCTGAAGACCAATAAACAGTATTAGCACATTGTTGTTGTTATTAAGTGCAACAGTTCCAACTCATAGTGACCCTGCTTAGGATTTCCAAGGAACGACTGATAAGTTTGAACTGCTGACCTGTGGTTCAAATTGACCTTATGGTTGAATGCTTATCCTACAACACCAAATAAGACTCCCACTATTAGCATAAATCATTCTAATTATTATTTACTAGCTGAAAGAACTGAAGAAAAAATTCAGGCCTCAAGTTGAAATATTGAAGGATAATAACATGATTTGGACCCATGTACATACAAATATAACTCCATGTCTGTAAAACTTGGCTCTTGGAAGGTGATCTTTTCAACTCTCAGTTTTTAGTTTTCTGGGTTGGGCTTAATGACTCTGGTTTCTTGATTGTTGTTGTTGTTAAGTGCCGTCGAGTCGATTCCAACTCATAGTGACCCTATAAAGGGTTTCCAAGGAGCAACTGGTGAGTTTGAACCCCTGACCTTGTGGCTCAAACTGACCTTGCAGTCCAGCGCATTATACTGTAGCACCACACCAGGACTGGATTAGCATATAATTTATTCCTTTTCCTTTTTGTTGGAGAAACTCTTCAGGTAAGTTTTTCATATAAAGTTCACAGGTTGTCAAATTTGAGTTTTTATCTGACTAAAAATGTTTTCATCTTGCCCTTGTACTTGATTAATAATATAATTTGGTATAATAAAATAAGTTAAGAATTATTTTCCTTCAGAGCTCTGAAGATATTGCTTTATTGCCTCCAATAGTGGGTACTACTATTGCTGATAAGTTTGGTTCTCTAACTCTTCTAATACTTGATTATTTCTTATACATTCATTCTCTGTGTCCTTTCCTTCTGGAACTCTTGGATAGATTGGACCTCTTGGATAGATTGTCTCTTTCATAACTTTTCAATACCTTCAGCATCTTTCATATTTGCATGCTACCATGTAACCCTTGTACAGAATTATTAATTTTGTTATTCATACTTGTAGTTTCCAAGAACTCAGCTCTTGTTCTGTGATCACTGTTCTTCAAAATAACTTTTTTTATTGTTGTAAACAAATGAGCTTTTGCCAATTCAAAATTTTCATATATATATATATAATTTAGTGATCTTAGTTATATCAATCGTGTTGTACAACCACCACCCATAATCATTGCCAAATTTCCCTTCATCAGAAACAATATGCTAAGAATGAGAACGAAGAACGAACTCAGCTTCATCCTCAAAAAACAAATTCCAAGATGTGTCCTGATGTACAATGCTGTCAGTGAATACTACCCAAACATTTGCAAGGAAGACCGATATAATATGACTTATTCAGATTAGCACTCCAACCACTAACGAGAAAGATGACAAAATTGAAGACTTTTACCAACTTCTGCAGCCTGAAATACATCAAACATGTGATCAATATGCATTGACAGTTATTAGTAATTGGAATGTGAAAGTTGGAAACAAGAAGGATCAAAAGTTAGAAATTAATGCCTTGGTGATAGAAACAATGACAGAGATTGCATACTATAATTTGGCAAAACCAACAACTTATTCATTGCAAATACTGTTTTTCAACAATATTAAAGGATGATTATTCATATGGACCTCACTTAATGAAATTCACAGGAACCCAATCTGTGGAAAGAGATGAGAGAGTAGTTCAATATGATCAACCAGAAAAAGGCCAGCATTCAATTGTGGACTCGACCATTAATTACTCATATCTAAGTTCAAGTTGAAACTAAAGAAAATTGAAACAAGGCCACGAGATCTTAAGTATGACCTTCTTTCTATATATCCTATTGACATTTAGAGACTAGTCCAAGAATTGAGGACTAATGTCCAATGACTAGACAAGTGGCGGAGTGATAAAAAGGACATCATAAGTAAAGGGGCAAAAAACGGTCATTAAAAAGATGGGAAAGAAAGAAAAGATCAAAATGAATATCAGAAGA